AAATATCTCGAAAACTAAAGCTGCACAAACGACAGTTTTTACAGCACAAACCTGCACAAACGGAGCACTAACAAACTAGCCCACTTTGGTTTACTTTCGAAGCGATATGGGGTGATGGTGAACTGTAGATGACCAAATATATAATATGTAATATGTCGGAAACCAAAATTGCACAAACGACCATTTTAACGGCACAAACCTGCACAAACGGAGCACTAACCATTCTGACTATTTGATTAATTTTTTGACGTGGGTGGGGTGTCAGCTTCACACAGCTCCTCCGCTGCTACCTTAGAAATGCACAAGGGTCAACCTGTTACTCTATCTTTCATACCTTACAAATAAAACAACAAGGTGAAACACAAACACATCAATCAGGCTTGCATTGCACCCTCTTTACTTATATTAGCTCACTCAGATTTACAATGAATATAGTATGAAAAGCAATTTCCTGACTACTCAGTTTAAATAGTCACTCAGTTAACACAGGTAAAGATGTCCTACCTATTTTAAAAACTAGTCTGTACTTAAAACATACTTAAGCCACAATTTAACGTGTGATTGTTACAATTTCTGTTAATAACTATCTTTATAAGCTTGAAATATTTTTTTTAGCATCGTTTTAGGAGGAGTAAACTACCGTGGGAGGACCATTAGAGCAATTACTACCCTCAGGCAAAGAGGGGATCCTCTACCTTGGCTGCAACAAAAGGAATTCCATTACAAACAGGTTTCGCCAGACCAATGATACTCCAACTTCCTGTTGTAAAGTCTTCTCTCAGTGATTCCATGGATTCCTCCCAGCAGGTTCTATGGGCTCATAATGACTTCTGATGGCTTAGTTACACAACCTTGGGGAAAAGTGGTTTGGGGATAAACTTGTCTGCGTTGATTGACCTATAGAATGTCGTGCCAAATGCTTTCTTTGTAGTTCTACGTTACTTTAGTGTCAGCCCTCTAGAAATTTCTGATAAAAGACCTACCTCCTGTCTACATGACTCCATGCTGACGTTATACATGCAACTTTAAACACCGACCAGCCATTTTGTTGTTTGTCCAGTAAATTATTTTAGCAGCCAAGCAAATGACAACACACACAACTAGGGCTGCCACAATTAGTCGATTAGTCGACGACTTATCGATTATTAAAATAATCCATGACTAATTTAATAATCGATTAATCGTTTTCTTTTTGTTGTTGTTGTTTTTTTACTTTGTTTTTCTCTCCAAACTGCTTTGACACCTTCCACTGCCACATCTGCCTTTCTGTCCTTGACACACATGCACAGTAGTGGTAACTGGGGTAGGCCATGGACGTCACAAGACATTAGACAGGCTCTGGTATCATGGCTACCTGGCAATGGAGCTCAAAAGTGTGGGATCATATTAAGAAAATGAAAGAGAAACCTGTACAGTATCTGCAGAGCAGAACTTGCCTTCCACAGCAATTATTTTTAGTTAGCATATAGCTAAAATCTGATGATAGTTATAGCAGCATTCTGGTACTGTATGTTTTATATTCAATTAACGTATGATCCGATTAGTCGACTAATCGAAAAAAATAATCGGTGATTAATCGATTATAAAAATAATCGTTTGTGGCAGCCCTACACACAACAAAAGCAAGACTTTTTATCCCAGATACAGTTCCAAAAATATTAAAACTCTGATCTCATCAGATTAGTTTGAGGAATGAGACGGTCTGGCTTGCTCGTGTTAAAAGTCATGCCCCAACTCAAACCTCAGCCTGAAGGTGAAAGACAAACACTCTGCCTAAAGCAAAGCTTTTACAGCTGAGCTAATAAATGAAATCACATCATGGCTTCAGTCTTCAGGGTGGCTTGCCTACAGAGACCTTTACTTTTAATGCAAGGAGATGAAATAATGCTAACAGTTGTAGTATTTTAAAGAGCTCATTCTTAGCTATATTGGCATCTTTAATAAATGACAAAAATAATTGTAAATTGGTAAGTCAGCAGTGAACAGCCACAAGTTACAACAAATCGACTAAAACTGGCTTTGCTGAATGGATTACTGAACCTAATAAGAAGCAATAATTTTTATTAAAAGTTTTTTTTGTTTGGTTTTTTAGGGGGAGGGGCTCTTTTATTGTATTCATAAACTTTAAGGCACAAAATTCTGAGCTGTAATGTTTTATGAAGATAATAGAAAGGTAAAACTTAATACTGACTTCAAAAAACGCAAATACTTCTGTCGACTCTAAAAAAATACTTGTTGCAATGATGTGAACATAAAATCAGTTATTTCAAAGGAAATTTATTGATGTTACAGATGTCTATATTATTTTAAAGCCAAACAAGACATAAGTCAACTGAGTATTACTTTTCATTTTTAATTATTTTTCTTAGTCTACATTTTTCCCACTCTTCTGTAGGGTTGGGCAATATTGGCAAAAAAATTAATCACGATTAATTGTGGTATTAAGCCGATAATGATTAGTTTGACGATTAATGCCCTGGAGTCACTGAACACCTGTCCTAGTCACATGACCAATTTAGTGGGAAAGAGTTGCTCATCGTAAAAATCTTTTCCAAATTGTGTAAAAATTAAAAACTCTTCTGAGATGAAAATGTGTTGAACAAAACAGCTAAACGCAACTGGAGATACAAATGCTCTGGGGCAGACCCCACCCTCAGTCCAACTTTCATTTAATTCCACTTTTCAACAAACCCATATTTCATAAAAGAACAGTGGGAAAACCAAAAGCAGGTCCCACACTTTCCCCATTGCTTCTCCCTTATGGTTTCTATTTAGCAAAATAAAAAACTAAAAAAAATAAAATAAGATCCAAATGTTATGGCCTATAACTCTGCACAGGCAACACGGTTTAAAACAAAAATCAGCAGCCTTTTACATTTTCAAGCAGTTATTTGCAGGTGAAATGTCGGCTCTGCTCCCACCCTAGAGCTCAACATGAGAATGACAAATCTGTAAATGCTCCATGAAGGTCAGGCRTGTTGAAATCCTCTCGTGTTACTACATATTATTGTAAATATTCTGTACCATATTGTAGGACTGCACCGATTAATCGACAACTAATCGATTATTAAAATAATCTATGACTAATTTAATAATCGATTAATTGTTTTCTTTTTTTTTGTTCTTTACTTTGTTTTTCTCTCCAAACTGCTTTGACACCTTCCACTGTCACATCTGCCTTTCTGTCCTTGACACACATGCACAGTAGTGG